ATAGATAGATAGATAGATAGATAGATAGATAGATAGATAGATAGATAAGAGATAGATAGATAGATAGATAGATTAGATAGATAAGGATGATAGATAGATAGATAGATAGATAGATAGATAGATAGATAGATAGATGATATAGATGATAGATCAATCGATAGAAAGATGATAGATGAGATAGATGATATAGATAGATGACCGACAGATAGACAGACTGGATGGATGGATGAATGGGTAGTTAGTTAGGGAGGCAGAGAGATAAACAAACATACACAGTGGATGGATGGTTGGATGGATGGTTGGAGAGAGACAGAGAGAAACTCATCCCAAATTATATTTATTTATTCATTAGATTCGTACTGCCGCCTATTCGCCATGGCGACTCAAGGCGGCTTACAACATGTCGAAACACAATTTAAAAACAATAAAACTCGTAAAATCAAATAAATTAATATAGTAAAATCACACACACCCACCTCCTCCCCCATAGTCCCCAGCGACAGCAGATTACATGTGCCATTTGTGAATTGAATATATGGGTTGAATATATGGATTCGACCTGCAGCACCCCATTGGGCTTTCTTGGGAACGATGCCCATCCATGCCTTAAGGCAGGGGTCCCCAAACTTGGCCACTTTTAAGACTTGTGGACTTCAGCTCCCAGAATTCCCCAGCTAGCTGGGGAATTCTGGGAGTTGAAGTCCACAAGTCTTAAAAGTGGCCAAGTTTGGAGACCTCCGATTTAAGTGATCAAAAAGGTAGGAATGTCCTGTCCCCCCAAAAAAAGGCCTAATTTGGTGCATCTTGCTTTAAAGGGGGGGGGGGGGGGGAAAACCCGACCAAAGGGAAGAGAAGCCCCCCCCCCAAGCCGAGGGATAGCCAGGAGTTGGGAACCTCTCCTCCGCCGCCGGAGCTCTTTTGGGTGCAAGACGGGGGCCCTGCCGGAAGTCCAAACTAATGGTTCGGGGTGCGCAAGAGTTCCGTAGCGGTAGTAGGAAGGGGGCTACTCACGTCCACATTGTCCACATCTAGGATTTTGGAGTGGAACTGGAGCCCCATCGCTCTGGCCTGCTGGATGGGATGGGCCAGGTGACTGTAGGTCTGCAAGAGAAGGAAACGGTTTAAGAGAGGGCCCCCCCCCCCTCTCTCGGCCCCAGAAGTCCCGCCGGGCTTTTCTCGGGGGGGGGGGGGGGCTACAAAGTTCTTCCCGTCATGCCCTTCTTGGAGTCTGATTCTGAGAGGGAGATTGAGCAGCTGACACGGAGTGGGAGTGTGGCTCCGGTGGCTGTGGAAGAATTCAGGAGAAGACCCAGGGCCACCCCTTCTTCATCCTAGGGCACGCAGGGAGGAACGGAGAAGGGAGCAACATGGCTTACGGGAAAGGAAAGGGCCCTGATCCCTTTCATTAGTTGTAGCTGGGAGAACAGGATATAAGTGGGGCGTTTGCACACAGGTCTTTGCTGGAAGCAAAAGCGTGCAGTATGTCAGCGTTCCAGGTAAAATCCATTCCTGTCAGTAACTCCAAGACAACCATAATCTCAAAGTACTTTTATTAGAACAGAGCCTGGCGCATTCTGTGGAATTCCGAAACTAAAAGTTTCCCCGGACTTCCCATACTGTCCCAACCTACAAACCATCTCCTTTTTACTCATCATCACATCACATGAACTAATCCCAAAGTAAGTTCCAATTCTTTCTGCGCCACGCTCTTTAACCTTGAACTATCAAAAGAATTATATTTTGTCTATTAAGAGCTACTCAATTAACATCACTTTCTCCAGCTACGTGGCCACAATCAATCATGATTCTATAGCTGACACATTATCTTTGTCGAGGCTTATCCGAGTTTTGGCGTCTTCCCACCTGTGGTTGCTGCGTTTTCTTGTGGAAGTCTGCAATTTATCATCCTGGCCTGCCGTGTTAATTACTTCAGCGTGGTTTGTGCTGGTTTTTTTAAAAATTTCTAATTATCTTTACTTTGGGTTCGGACTGCATTTCTCCCCTTCATAGACTGTTTTTGGAAGTTTGATATCCAGCTGAGGATAATTGGACCTTGGGCCCCAAGTCGGAGGCATTAAAGGGAATGTATTCTACTTTTGTGACTTTGTTATTTTCGTGTCACGCCCCTTTGGGTCATCACACCCTTTTCCCAGCAGCCCCTGCCACACACACACACACACATGCCCCAAATATCCTCCCCGTGTGGAGACTCACCGCTTCGTAGCACCAGTCCTTCAGGATGTCCAGATCTCCGGAAATCATAGCCTGGGGAAAGGAGAGAGCAGATGCTTGTCAGGGGTGTGGAGGGGGCGGGGGGTGGGAGGCAATGGATGGTGTCAACTCGTAAAACATTCCTATGCCTGTTTTCGAGTTGCCCTAAGCAGGAGGGGAGGGGGACATCTGAAGGAGCAGATCGGCAAGTAAAAAACCAGAAGTACATTCCACGCTTATCTTCAAAAGATTGTAGCCTAGGCTACCAGACCTTCTGCCTGCGAAAATCCTCATTGGTGAATGTGATTGATGAGACCCAGCCCTGTGAAGGTGGCTCAGTTGGAGAATCTGATTGATGACACACGCAGGGGGGGAGAGGGGGGAAAGAGGGTCACAGGGGACTGTCAATTACATGTGTCAGAGTGGGGTTCATTCCGGTCAACGAGGCTCGTGATTTAATTAGGACTGTTAGGAATAACATAGGTTACCTAACGTAGTTTGGGTAAAATAATATATATAAACTATGATAGTGAGTTTATATGTGTGTGTCACTTTAACTCCAAAGCATGTAATTTTGGGTGCGGCTGTAAATCGCCATAAGAGGGAGCAAGAGAACCTGATTGATTGCTGGCTTACTGGATTGCTTGATGACGATGATAGTTTGATAACTGTGTGTTCTCTGCTGTTGCTGAAGGAAGAAAAGAGGTTTGACTTCTTCATATCTCTACTGCAAAGAGATATTACTGGACTGATATTTGTAAGTTTAATGACCTCTTTTTCGACACTGGACTTTGCAACTGATTAATCCCCGGACGGACTGAACTAGTGTATGATATATGGACTGTTTGACTATGCTAAAACTCTTGCTGGAATAAACTATTTAACTAGCACTGTGTATCTGTTTTATTGAGTGTAAGCTACAAAAACGTTTATCTCACATATTTGCCTGCCTGCCTGACTGCCGTGCAGGTTCTGCTAGGGTGTATATCCCTAACAAGGACAATCCCCGGAATCCTGACATACAGGTGGGGAGGAGTGCCAGGGGTGCCCTGGGCAAGAGGGAAGGACAAAGCCGGCACGGGAGAGGGTGAAACTGAAGTTTGTTTCATCTGAAGACGCTGGATAGAGGGTTAATCCTGTTGGGATTTAACACCGGCTGCTCCTGTTGCATTTAAAATGGGAATAAAACGGAGAGGCTGCAGGACATCCTGGCGGGGAAGGAAGGAGGGGGGGGTTCTGTCATCCTGGCATCAAAAGGGGCAATCAAAGGGCAATTTGCTGTACAGGTAGTCCTCAACCTATGACCACAATTGAGCCCCAAATTTCTGTGGTTGTGAGGTGAGATTTTGTTACGAGTTTGCAGCAGAAATTCAAGTCCAGGAAACACACAGATGACTGATTCAGCAGGATCATTCACTTCTTGACAAACATAAGATGAAGTAAAGTTTACAATACCATTTGTAGATTCTTCCAATGTAATAGAAGAAAAAACAGAAGCAGCAGCAGCAGCTCAGAGCAGAAATCAGTTTCAGCAAGCAAGCAAGTCTAGTTTCACTTTCAATTCTCACCACAGCACAGAGAGCCAAACCACACCCAGGTTGTCAGCTCCCATTGGCTGGTCTTTTGCCATGCTTCCTTTGTTAACCATGTCCCTGCCAGTTAATGAATGTACTCTTGACAGTTTTGCCACGTATTATTAAGTGAATCTTAGCTCAAACACCCTTCCATTCTACCGGTATTTTACCACTATTCATTTTAACAACCATTCAGAGTTACCATGGCACTGAAGGATGAGACTTGCGACTGGTCCTCCGGCTTATGACTGCTGTGGTCGGCACCACTGGAGGTCCAGCGGTTTCGACAGGTGAGGCTGCCAGTCTCACACCTTGTCAGCGGCAAGAATCGGTGTTCTTCGCCGCGATCTTACAAGGTAATCCTCGCTTACAGCCACAATTGTTCAGCGGGTTATGCTCCATTTTGCAACCGTCCCTGAGGCAGGCGTTAAGTGAACCGCTGCCATCGTTCAGTTAATAACGAGGTTGTTATGTGAATCTGGATTAGCCCCCCTCCCCACATTGGTTTTCCTTGTCAGGAGATTACAAACAGGGGACTGTGTGACAGCCCCCCAGGACGCTGCAACCGTCTTAAGTACGAATCACTAGCCAAGCATCTGAATTTGAATCCCGTAACCACAGGGACGCTTGAAAAATCGTAAGTGTGAAAAATGTCCAAGTCACTTCTTTTACCCAGGGGCCCTTGGAACTTCGAACGGTCGCTAAATGAACCGTCGAAAGTTGAGGACTCTTGTGTTTCTGCTCCTGCAGGAAAGCCCAGGCTTTGAAAGACAGGGAGCCACAAGGCCCGAAGAGCTGGCCGGGGGATCCTGCCTCACCTCTTTATCTTCTGCTACCCCCGTAAAGGGCGACACGGTGGCTCAGGGACTAAGACGCTGAGGTTGTCGATCAGCAAGGTTGGCAGTTCAGTGGTTCGAATCCCTAGCATAGCCGCGTCACGGAGTGAGCTCCCGTTACTTGTCCCAGCTTCTGCCAACCCAGCAGTTCGAAAGCATGTTAAAAAATGCAAGTAGGAAAGTAGGGACTCCTTTGGTGGGAAGAGGGGAACAGCGTTCCTCCGTGCGCCTTCAAAGGTGTTTAGCCATGCCGGCCACATGACCACGGAGCGCTGGCTCTTTGGCTTTGAAATGGAGATGAGCACCACCCGCTAGAGCCTGGGCTGGGGACCCACACCCCTCCGCCTCTTGCCCACCCAACTTACCTCGAGAACGTTGGGGATGATGTCGGCCTGACACTGCTTGAGGAACTGGTCCTTGTCGAAGTTGGGGTCAACGCGCAGGATCTCGGTAAGGACCTCGGACATCTCGGTCTTGGAGAACAGCCCGCCTGCCGGAGGGAGGGAAGGAGGAGATGGCGAAGCAGGAAGGAAGGATCCCTGCCCTTCCGAAGCCCCCAGGTCTGTCTTCGCCCGTGTTTCTCAACTGCGGCCCCTTTAAGACCTGTGGACTTCAACTCCCAGAATTCTAGATAGAGCTGGCTGGAGGATTCTGGGAGTTGAAGTTCCGCAGATCTTAAAGGGGCCACAGTTGAGAACAATTGCTCCTCACTCTGGGCTGAGTCAACCAATCTATGAGCCCCAAGCCAGGCTCTTGATCTTGGGTGTTGAGACCTTTTGTGAAATTAAATGCCCCCTTGCCGGACAGGTAGGGTGGACGGTAGCTTTGACCCTGGGACATCGCAACCGTCATAAGTATGAGCCAGTTGACAAGTGTCCGAATTTGGATCACACGACTGTAGGGATCCTGCAATAGTCGTTCAGTATGAACAACGATTGACAGAAGTCAGCGGTTTCAACGCTGTTATAATTTTGGTCACTAAATGAACTGTATTTTTTTTAACAGGGAAATACTTTTTTCGCCCTTTGACATGATGGTGAACCTATGACACGGGTAGCCATTTGTGCGGGCACGCGAGCCCCAGCACTGCACTGCACACACACGAACCTCCCCGCTGATTTTCGGCCCGTTTGAGGCTGTTTTTTGCCTTCCCGGAAGCTCAAGGGAAGCCTCTGCAGCCCTGGGAGGCCGAAAAACGGGCCTTCTGGAAATACCGGAAGTGCCGAAACAGGCCCGTTTTTCAGCCTCCCGGGGCTGCAGAGGCTTCTCTCGAGCCTCCGGGAGGGTGAAAAAGGTCTCAGAAGGGCCGAAAATCAGTTGGTGGCACGTGCATATGCAGTGCAGGGTAAGGAGATTGCGCGCGCATGCACGGGGGCCCCGCATTGCATTGTGGGTGCTGGCACGTGCACGCCCTTGCTATCGCGCTTGCGTGCCCTTTCGGCACACCACAACAAAAAGCTTCGCCATCCCTGCCCTATAAGCAATGGTGGGCTGTGGCTGGTTCAGACCGGTTCAAGCGAACCGGTAGTTCCAATAATCAGCTCACCCACCACCAGCACCACCACCACCACCCTATCCTGTCCTATATTTCTCTCTTTTTCAGCTCAGCTGATTCGCCCAGCACAGATTTCACGCAGATTTCAGCTGTTCTACTTACCCTGTAGAGGTTCAAATTGGTGTTTTTTTTTAAAACTGCGCGCGCGCGGGCACGCTCACAGAACCGGTTGTTAAACCGGTTGCACCCCACCACTGCCTATAAGGTCCTGCAAATGGCCAGCCAGAAATGCCCCTTGCTCACCAGATGAGGGGAGAAAAAAAGGAAGACAGACCTATGAAGTCGGTCACTTTGTCCGTCATGACGCGTGAGGCACGGATGAGGGCATTGTCACTCTCGTCGTATTTCATCTTCATTTCAAAGAAACCTAAGGAAATGGAAAGGTACCCCTGGAAGAAGGAATATGGGCCCCCTGCCCTGGGAAACCAGGAGGAGGTCACTTTAAAAAAAAGGAAACTTGTTCTCTAGAGGCTGAGAAATAAATTCAAATAGCACTAAGGATTCTTTTTTAAGTTTTAGTTATACATATTTAATATACATCAGTGCTCAATAAACAGTGTAACGTCTTGGTTCATTTACTATATATATATATATATATATATATATATATATATATATATATATATAATGCCAATAATGTTTACTTGTATGTAATAATATTCTTCCAATTTCTCATTTCTACCTCTGCTGTCTAACCATTTGTAAAACAAATCCCATGCTAAATAATTATTCGGTATCCTCTTTATCCCTGGCCCCATCTCTGCTCTGATGCAGAGCCCTCATCCGAGCCTTCCTCAGCCTCCAAGACTGGTCCAGGTTGCTCCCCAACCTCCTCACTATTGTCCGACTCTGATGCCGGCTCCGTCAGCTCCTCCGGCGGGCCACAACATACCAATCTATCGACGCGTAGTTGCCCGCTTTCAAACTGATGAGTCTGCAGGAGCTGGAACGAGTGGCGGGCGCTCGCCCCGTCCTGTAGCATGCAACCGGGTCTCGAGCCGACCCATGCTGAGCCCGGTACCCTAACCACGTGACCCACCGCGTTCCCATAATACGTACGGTTGAAAACCACGTTGTTGTCCTTGAACTCCTTCCACTGCTGGTACCACTTGGAGTCTTTGTGGAGCACCATGCCCATCGCTTGCCTAGAGGGGGCGACAGAGGGAGGTTAAGGGAAGGAGGCTGGAACGTCCCCCTACCTGTCGTTGGGAAAGAGAGATCTTTTCGGCTCCCATGGGGGAAACCCTCGCAGCCAACTGCCTGCACGGCCTCAGGAAGAGCGAGGCAGATGTGCTTTTCCAGTTCCATTGGAAGATGCCAGGCCTCTCCTGGCTGAGGTTTCTTTCTTGTCCCCCCCCCCCGCCCCCCCAGCATCACCCAGCTCTGGTTCCAGTTCTGATCCCAGTTCTGACACCCACTCGTTAGCTTCGAATATCCGCTCCTCTTTCAGCCTCTCACTGGCAGATTCTGTCCTTTTCCGGAGTCTCTCCGGACGCCTGTAAGGGCCCGTCTGACCCAGCACGCTCTCGTCAATCTCCTTCCGGACGCTCTCCATGCCCTGGGAAGGGAAGCCATGTCACACGTCAGCCGCAAGGAACCGGATCCACTCACGAAAGGCCCAAATCAATCAATCAAAATAGAGCTGAAAGGGACCTTCGAGGTCTTCTAGTCCACCCCCCCCCTGCTCAAGCAGGAGACTCTACACCATTTCAGACAGGTGGCTGTCCAGTCTCTTCTTAAAAACCTCCAGTGATGGAACACTCTGAACTTCTGGTGGCAAGCTGTTCCGCTGGTTAACTGTCCTCCCTGTCAGAAAGTTTCTCCTTAGTTCCAGGTTGCTTCTCTCCTCAATTAGTTTCTATCCGTTGTTTCTTGTCCTGCTTTCTGCTGCTTTGGAAAATAAACTGATCTCTTCTTTATGGCAGCCCCTCAAATACCGACATACCGCTATCATGTCCCCTCTAATCCTTCTAGATTAGCCAGACCCAAATCCTGCAGCCAGTCTTCATATGTTTTGAGTCTTTGGGCCCTTAATCACCTTAGTTGCTCTTCTCTGCACTTTTTTTTTTCAAAGTCTCAACTTAGGAAAAATCAACAACTTGATTGTCTTCTACCTACTTTGTAATATAGGTAGAAGACAATCAAGTTGTTTATTCCCCACCCCTCCAAAGACTGCTCACCTTCTTCCCTTGGGATCCACCCAGATAAAGCTCAATGGAAGGGAGAGAAGGTCGGGATTATGCCTCTTGCGGCTGTATAAGGACTCGAGGCTAGTTGCCCTCTTGACTCATCCTCCCTGCTTAGCTGTCAGTTTTCCAACCTTGCAGCAGGGCAGAGGAAGTCCCCGGATTGATTGACAGAAGAGGCAAAGACCATTCAAGTAGCCCTTGAGTTATGAATATAATGGAGCTGCCCCATTCCATTCATAAGCAGAGGATTGGTGGGAGTGAATCTCGTACATTGAACGCCATCACTCCCTCCTTTCACCCACGCATTTGCCAATCGAACGAGCGGTTTGTTAAGTGAACATGAGATATTTCAGGGTAGGGAAGTCCATGGGCGGGGCCCTAGTGAAGGAACATGTCCCCTGCCTAAAACCACCCAAGGCCTCCCCGACCCACAGAAATACCTCATGCTCCCCACAATTGCTTTCCCCCCCCACACCCAAGCTGCCGTGCCAGGTCACTTTCTGTCAGAAGATCTAGCAAGTTGTCTCCTCTCTAGCCTCTCAGCTGTGCGCGCCCCTCCAAAGCTCCGTTTTGGCCAGCAAAGAGCAGGACAAATGTTGCAGAGCCTCTGCGGTTATTGGTAAGGGCGAACAATTGCCGTGGTGCTGCAAGATTCACAGTCTCGGGACTTGCTCATAAACACGAAGGGGCGCTGATCACGTAACTTTGACCATTCTCTAAGGGAACACTCATAACCCAGGGATTACCTGTACTGTTAAAAAAAAATTAAAAATCTGAGCACGGCCTATACCAGGGGTGTCCAACTCGATTTCATGGAAGGCCACATTAGGGTTGTGTTTGACCTCGAGGAGAGGGGGGGCAGGGCGGTGGGGGCAGGGGCGGGAGTGGTCAGCTCAACATCACTCATGTCGGGTGCGCCTGTGGCAGCCCGAGCATCTGCCAGCGAAAACGGGCTCCCGAGCCAGGGTGTGATGACCCAGGATGGGATACAAGACAAACACAGTCACAGAAAAGAGGTGAAGTCCCTTTTATTCCTTCACTTTGCTTCCAAGCTCCAAATATCTTTGACTGAAGACAAAAAACTCCCACACAAACAGCTACAAGGAGGAAAAAAGCAACACAAACCAGGCAAGATAAGGGCTGGAGGACGTCCACAGATAACGCACACTGGGAAGGACACCAAACTCAAGAGAGGAACTATAAACTAGAGATATTTCCATGCTTTGTTTCCAGCACTCGCCCATACGCATGTCCGTCCTCTTATTGAGTTGTCACAGCTGCAGCCCATGAAGAGGACCAAGGCCCTCTCCTCCAGAGGAGACCACGTCTCTCCCTTATCCTCTCCTCCCTGCATGCCCTAGGATGGAGAGGAGGTGGCCTGGGTCTTCCTCTGACTGCCCAGCCGGCCTCTGCCCTACCCCAGCCTCCTCCATAACCCCCAGAGCCCCACTTCCACTCCCTCTCGGCCGTTCCTCCTCTCCCTCAGAGTCAGTCTCCACCAAAAGGCGTGACACAGGGGGTGGGATTTGGCGGTTTGCCGAACCAGCCATAATGTTAGCAATGGGTCCTCTAGAACCCGCCCAAACCCGTTGCAGCCCATCCCTGCACCTGACTGAAGAAGGGAGTTACCTGAGAAATGGCCTTGAATGCTGCAGTCCGGCCCAGCTTTTCTCCTCCCTTGGAGACTGTTTCTGCAGACTGCTTCGCTGTTTTGGCTGCTTCCTCCATGCCTTCCTTGATCTTCCGGCCAATCTCGCTCTTGCTGACTTCATCTATGCTCTACCACCAGAGGGGGGGGGCAGGAAGAACAGAAGAAAAAGAGTTGGAAGGAACCTCGGAGGTCTTCTAGTCCAACCCCTGCTCAAGCGGGGAACCCTATATCATTTCAGACCAATGTCTGCCTAGGTCTTTTCTAAAAAAAAATCCCCAACATCGGGTGGCAAAAAAAAAAAAAAAAAACGGCTAATTGTCCTCGCGGTCAGCAAATTCCTCCTTAATTCCAGGTTGCTTCTCTCCATGATTAGTTTCCATCTGTTGCTTCTTGTCCTGCCTTCAGGTGCTTTGGAGAATAGGTTGACCCCTCTCTTCTTTGGGGCAGCCCCTGAGATATCGGAAGGCTGCTATCGTGTCCCCCCGGTCCTTCTTTTCACTAGACTAAAAAGGACAAATAGGCTGAAAAACAGCTTCTATCCCACAGCAGTAACTCTATTGAATTCTACTGTATGGTGCAACATTAATGCAATATCAGGGGTTTTCAATTCAATTGTATAGAATGCGAAGGATGTTTTTGTTTTTTATGTATAATGTAGACTGAAGATGGCATTTAATTTCGTTGTAAATGCAATGACAATAAAGTAAACTAAACTAAACTAGACTAGCCAGGCCCAGTTCCTGCAACTGTTCATTGTATGTTTTAGCCTCCAGTCCCTTAATCATCCTGGTTGCTCTTCTTTGCACTTTTTCTAGAGTCTCAAGGTCTTTTTTTATAGGTTGGTGGTTCTCCTTGTCAGAAAATTTCTCCTTATTTTCAGGTTGAATCTCTTCTTGTTCAGTTTCCCTCCATTATTCTGGGAGCTTTGGAGAATAGCTTGACCCCCTCCTCCTCCTCTCTGTGGCAGCCCCTCCAATATTGGGAAGGCTGCTCTCCTGTCTCCCCTGGTCCTTCTCTTCCCTAGACCAGCCAGGCCCAGTTCCTGCAACCGTTCATCGTATGTTTGAGCCTCCAGTCCCCTCATCCTCCTGGTTGCTCTTCTCTGCACTTTTTCTAGAGTCTCTGAATCTTTTTCATAGTGTGGTGACCAAAATTGGATGCAGTATTCAATTTTTTCCTCTTCTAGCTTCCCATTATTTTTGTTTTCTTTTATATTCTAACAAAAATATTTAAATCGTAAAAGGAAGGAGGCTGCTGCCTCTTAGAAGAATCAGCATGGACTCCTTTAGCCTTGGGCCCTCCAGAGAGCTGCTGGTACGGCCAAGGTGGAATACACCCGTGCTGTGGGGGCTCCGGAGAGCATTCCTAGCCGCTGGAGTAAGATAGTCCAGGGCCAAAAGGACACACCTCTCTGTGGTTCTTACCTCCTTGACGGTGCCACTGATTTCTCCTAATTTCTTTTTAAGCACTTCCGAGGTCTTGACGGTTTCGGACTCGATGGTTTTCTGCGAGAAGGAAGCAGAAAAGTTGGTGTCGCCCAGGGAGAAAGCTAATTCTCTTCTCACCCAACGACAACTCTGTGGTTAGGTTCTTCTGAATGGACCACCATCTCTTGATGACCCCCCCCCCCAACAGCTACGGTCTCAGAATTTCAGGAGCAAATTGGAGCCAGTTTATTTCCCCCAGTAGGATCGGCCCTGATCTCTCAGGCTGCTCTAAGCAGTTTTGGGCAGATGGGTTAGTTTGTCACGTAAGGGGAGGGGAGACAAGAGAGCTTGAAAATAATCTGCAGGGTGAAATCTCTGGAAGAAATATCCTCCTAATCAAGGGAGAATGATGTTTGTAGGTCAGGGATGGCATGAGGGTCCTTGGGGCTCCCTGAGCTGGGTGGTTTTCTTGCAGACGTCTCGTGACCCAACTAGGGAACATCATCAGTGCTAGAAGGGAGTGGGGTTTTCAGGGAGGAGGAGGAAGAGGGAGGGAGGGAGGGATGGAGGGAGGGAAGATTGTGGGAGTCCTTGGTGCTTTCTGAGCTTGGCTGTTTTCTTACAGATGTTTCGTGACCCAACTAGGGAACATCATCAGTGCTAGAAGGGAGTGGGGTTTACAAGGAGGAGGAGGAGGGGGAGGGGGGCTGTGGAGGGTCATGGTGCTCTCTGAGCTGGGTGGTTTTCTTAAAGACGTCTCATGACCCAACTAGGGAACATCATCAGTGTCGGCGTTCCAATGAAACTCCCCATTTCCATTCAGCACTCAGAAACAAAGTCCATCCAAGTAAGAATTTATTAGAGAAGTCATATTTTCACACCTGGGAAAACTTGAATCTGGGTTTTCCCTTCCCCAAGAGAAATTCAAAGATCCATCCCCGGCACCCACCAGTCCACCACACGGCCCAATCAAATCGTCGTCCCAACGGAAGCCGTTCCTCCAGATACTCCTCTCCAGCTGCAGGGCAGCTTGTCCTTGACTTTTAAGAAAGAGTGTTGTTGAGTCTAATCTTCTACTCACTTTGGGGTCTCCAAACTTGACAGCTTTAAGACTTGTGGACTTCACCTCCCAGAATTCCTCCTCCTCCAGTCATGTTAGCTCAGGAATTCTGGGAGGTGAAGCCCCCCAAGTCTTAAACTTGTCAAGTTTGGAGACCCTTGCGATAAGAAATCCCCCCTCCCAAATTCCCAGGCACTGAATGCGGCAGCCTTGAAGCTTCCAAGTAAAATATGGCTTCCATGGCTGACAATCAGTGCCGGAAGGGAGTGGGGTTTGCAAGAGGAGGAGGAGGAGGAGGGAGAGGGAGGACTGTGGGAGCTCCCTCCTCCTTCCTCCTCTTCTTCTTCCTCCCCCTCCTCCCTGCAAACCCCACCCTCTTCTTGCACTGATGTTACCTACTTTGGGTCATGAGACATCTGCAAGAAAACCACCCAGCTCAGAGACCCCCAAGGACCCCTCAAATCTCCACTGTGAGAATTACCTTTACCTTCTGGGATTTGAACACACATCATCCTGATTCTTATTATCATCATCATCATCATCAAACAGGTCACACATATTATTTAGTTCCCCGCCGAGGGCATGCCTACATCCTCAACTCTTTTTGAAGCAGGAAGAAGGTGCAATGTTATTTACGCACCTGCGGCCTTCCGCCTTCCCTTACGATACAGGTAGTCCTTGACTTACGACTGCACTTGAGGCCAAACTATCCGTTGCTAAGCGGGGCATTCATTACGTGGGTTTTGCCCCGTTTTATGAACTTTTTGGCTGCGGTTGTTTTAAATGAACCACTGCAGTTGTCAAGTTGATCACACGGTTGTTAAGTGAGTCTGTCAGAAGGTCTCAAAAGGGGATTGCGTGATCCCGGGACAGCCCGTCGTAAATATGAGTCAGTTGCCCAGCGCCTGCCTTTTGATCACGTGACCGTGGAGGACGCTGCCACGGACAAAAAGTACGAAAAACGGTCATAAGTCAAGTTTCTGTCACTGCTGCGGTTAACTTTGGTCACTAAATGAACTGTTGTGAGTCAAGGGACTGCCTGCCCAATGTAGCCCTCGGCTTACAGCCTTTTTGTTTAGCAAACACTCAAAATTACGACACTGAAAAAAAAATATGATTTACTACTGGTCCTCGCGCTTATGACCGCCGCAGCATCTCCCAGGATCAAAATCCAAGAGCTGGGCAAATGGCATGGACTTACGACGGTTGCGGTAGGCTGGCCTCCTATGGCTGCCTTCTGCGCCCTTCCCCAGCCAGCAAACTCAACGGCGGGAGACGCACTCACTTAACGACTCTGGGATTCGCTCAACCGCCGCCACTGTCAACTAAAAAGAGACTCCTTTGGTCTTTTCAGCGGCCAGAAAAAGGGAGTGGGGGGGAAAACAAGGCATTCCTTAAATGCCTAGATATCAACTCAGCAGCCTAAAGTTGTTGGAGCATAAGACGGTTATTGGAGAGCACGATGGACGACTCTTGGGAGACGGACGTGTCCCATTGGAGAAGTCACATCCAGGGGGTGGGGGAAAGGCCAGGTTCAAGGGGTAAATGTATGATGTGATTGAGTATCGGCTGCATCCAGCCACGCGCCAACATGGCAACTTCTAATAAACCAATTTACTTTTCTCTAAGATGCGGCCAGAGACTCTTGATTTGAAGGAGGGCTCACTCCTCAACCACCTCGCTTAGGGATGGACATTCTGGACCCCGCCGTGGCCGTTAAGTCGAGGACTACCTGTCCCAGAAACGTTCCCCTGGTGGCCCAAAGCCACCAAGCGCCCTTCGATGTCCGGGGGGGGGGGGGGGGAGAGCCAACGTACGTATTTCCGCCTTGCTTCCTGGAGGGCGTCCGACTCCTCCAGTTTCTTCGCTTCGTCTCGGAATTTCTTGATGCTCTCCTTCATCTCCTTGTTTTTGGCCAGCTCCTGCTTGATGTTCTCTACGAAGCCAGATATAAAACCTTTCCGATGGCCCGAGGAAGAACATCTAGACTAAAGAAAAGGTCACAATTACACCTTGAAGCATGAAGGCGGGCCTGCCTCGGGCTGCAGTGACCCAAAGGGGCGTAGCACAAAGGCAACACCGTCAGATAATCAATAAAGATCCCTTTAATACCTCCAGCTTTGCCCCCAATGTCCAGGTTACCTTCAGGCTGGAGAAAAAAACTCTCCCAGGAACAGCCTTTAAATGGAGGAAATTCAGTCCAAAACAAGATACATACAGACTGTAACTAAAAATCCACACAAATCACGGTGAAGTAATTAGCTTGACGAGGCAGGAGAAGGAATTGCAGACTTGAAAGCACGGCAAAACTCACACCGTTGGGAAGACGCCAGGAACACAGAAAAGCCTCGACAATACCAGACAATTCACGATTTGCTCCCAACAACTTGCTGTGCGCAGCTTCCCTTTTTAAACACTGTGTTCCCAGTTGCAGCTAATGAAGGGAATCAGGGCCCTTTCCTCCCCCGTAAGCCATGCAACTCACGTTGCTCCCTTCTCCGTTCCTCCCTGTGTGCCCTGGGATGAAGAGGGGGTGGGCCTGGGTCTT